TCCTACTCAGGTGCTGTGTGAACTCGTTTTCTATTGATGAGGGAGGTTGTCGTAGTACTGGTGGGCCACTCTTGGTAGTACTGGTTTCATTGCCTGCAAGTCATTGTATTTCCTGAGAGTAATTGGCAATTGGGCAGGAAAGAGTGGGACCCAGTGGACCGGTTCTTCGGGGATGCTGAGTCGCTGAGGTAGGTCCTCCCAGTCAGACTCAAAATCCAACTTGTGCCGGATTCGACCATCTGCCAAGTACTGGAGAGCCCGAAGGTCATGGACTGTGGGGTCGCCAACTTTTCTGCCTGGTCGAATTTTGGTGACATAGGCCCCAGATAACTTCATGAAGTCACTGTGGTATAGCTGGGTCACCTTGTATGGGGATGGGTGCAAACGTGCAGTCTCAAAGATGACAATGTAATCATGTGGATTGTGAATATCTTTGATGGTACGCCGTTCAATGAGGCTATGCATGGAGTCACACTCCATTTGTGTGTGCCCTGCAACCAGAAACTTTTGTTCTATGGTGACACCATGCTTCATGGCCAGATCTAGGTACGCATTTGTGATGGTACAACATCGATTTTGATAGCCGCAGCCATCACTCCAGATTATGACCTTTTCGATGTTTCGGTTGGCATCTAGGACTGACTCAAAGTGCTTGTACTGCAGATGGACAAAAACCTCGCTGCTGAGGGAGCCCTCATGCTCCTCCCAGGCGTAACAATACCCATCTTTGTTACCCAGGTTGAAGCAAGTAAAGTTGTGCATCTGTAATTTGGTTTTGTAATACATCTTGCTAGCTTTTGTCTTGGGACACAGAAGAACGCTCTGAAGGTCCATTGTCCACACTGAGAGCTTGTCACTGGATTCCTGTTTATCCTTAGCTTTTTCAGCTTGAGCCTTTAATTTCATGTGAGTAGTAAGGGTATCCTGATCTATATTTCCCACCTTGGCGCCGATACATACATCACACTGGTCTTTTTTTGGTACGAACACAGAGTATTTCTGCTCACTGAACACTTTTCGGAAATATGTCTCACTGACAACACGTGCTCCACTTTTACCAGCAGCTTTCTGGTATTCCTTGTGAAGGTCACTTAGAACTGTTCCCGGCTCCACAAACTTCTTATCCTGATAAGAGGGAACCTGACGGCAGTAATGGGATGGAACAGTAGGCAGCCCAGAGAGCCATTCTTTCAGGAAGGTCTGGTCAGCATCTGATATGGGCATATGTGGACCAGTCTTATTGATCTTGGGTTTGGGCGGATCAGTTTTGGTTTTCATGTCCACAGTTAACCATGATCCGATGGTTCTGGGGGCAATGCCAAGGGTTGAACAGAAAATAATCTTACACACAGGTAGTTTACATCTATCTGCCAGTTGCAGGTGGTATGATAGGGACGTTTTTCTCTAAATCTAAATCCTTCTCTGAGTCCTTCTCTAAATTTGTATCAAGTTCATTTCCCGACCCTGAAGCAGAAGAAAATAAAGTTGCTGAGCGTTGCTACTTCATCATACCTTGTCGCAGAAATGTGATTAAAAGTTTAAACACACAGTTCCTAATCCCTTTGATTGACTGAAAGTACATTTAGTGTCTAGAAAGTTGAAGAAATATGAACTAGCTCACCAGATGAATCAAAAAGAAGAGCTAATTCTTCACTTGTGGTCAGCAGAGCCCTCTGTCTCATGTGGTCCGCCATCTTTGTATGTAGCGTCAGAAATCCCTAAGTCAAAGAGATGACTTAGGCAGATAGTGATTTTGGACTCTAAATTGCGCTCTTGATAGGCTGAGGACATAGGCAATAAGGCAGGGTGATGCAGCAGTGGTAGGAGAGAAAAGTTAGGCAGATATCACAATTTGGCCAAAAAATGACTCAGGCAATTATGCTATTAGGCAAACGGTATGTAAGGATTGATGTAACACAATGAAGGGGATGTAGCTCAGTGGTAGAGCGTGTGCTTTGCATGTACAAGTTCCTGGGATCAATCCCCAGCATCTCCAACAACATTGAGTCAGAATAGT